GCGCCAGCGAATCAGCGACTAACCCTAACTAGCGACTATCGCTGGTGCGTCGTTCGAACTGGTGGCGCATTGCTCGTACTGCTCGGATTGGAGTAAACCATGGAGTCGCTGGTGAAAACCAAAAAAAACCAAATCCTAGGATTCAAAGTCTGTCACCGGTCTAAGGGCATCTGAATGCTACTACCTATTGCTGGAGTGCTTAATATTGTGTCGGAACAAGTACGTTGAATATTTTTCTCTCCAGAGAGCCAAGGTTCGATGAGAAGGATGAAGATCCGCAAACGTCGTTAATACGGCATGAAAAGCATGGCATGAAGAACAAAATAAGAATTCCGCTGGTTCACCAAACTTTGATAATTTTCGAGAAAGTAGCGGTGCTGTTTCCGTCTATCAAAAAATGTATTTTTTTGTTCTTGTTAAAAAATGTTACATGTTGTAGTCCTCTGGAGATATTGCTGTGCCAGTTTACCACATTTTCACCTAAAATTGAATTTACAAAGTTTGCAATTTGTCATTCGGCACCAGTTTTTCTCTGATAGCAACAACTTGCGAATGTCTCCATTTGAAGCTTTGGCTATCTATAAAAATAAAACTGTGTTGTAGTCCATTGAAGTGGTTTTCTAGCGCCCTTTCGGCTGCATGTGATTTAGAAGTCACTGAGTAGTTGGTTTGAGGACAGGTTTGGGTATAAAACCACGTTGGTTTCGAGCGAAGCGGGTGTGTTTTCTAACGGTTCATTACGGCGAGTCATCGCGGATCATCTCACCTGCGCACATTATGAAATGCACAATATACCCGAAAAGTGTCGTAGAGGAGATTATGGTGGTATAGGCACTCAGAGGTGATAATTGATAGCTTTATTGCTTTTGAATTGCTGTGCTATTGCGACGTGAAGACCGCTCGCAACCCAAGCTTTTGAAGTAGTTCGGAATTTGGATCTCCCTGACGAGCTTCTGCGTAACAACAATCCAATGTTTGTGTGAAGGAAGTTCTTTAAAGGACGAATTCACGATGAAAAAGCAACCCATTTCAAATTAACCTAGGGATGGTGAGTGGTACACGAAAGAAGGAAGAACCATGAGAAACGGCCCAGAACCCGAGAAATGGACCCCTTCCTTGCCCGTTGATTTGAGCATTGATGCGACTCTCATCGCTGTGCCCTCTTCAACACTACGCTCTCTCAGCTATCTAATCACTCGCCACGTATTGAACTACGGCGAGTGATCAGATGATCGGTGGGCGGAGATCGCCGGACCCGCCAGCTTTGAGGCATGATAGGTCGCCGAGGTCAAATTTTTCCATGCGAATTGCGCGTCAGTTCGCACCCTCAGGAGGTCCGTGGGTCCCTCAACTAGGTCAGTTTCCCTTTCTTCGACCTTCATTCTAATCGTGAATTCCTCCTTTTAAGTATTATGGAGAGAACATTGGGAATTTATTCAAGAAATTTCGAAAGGCACATTCACTTATTCACTGAATGAAAATTTCCATATGAGCAGTGATAGGTACAACAGAGTACGATGAAGTTGAAAAGATTATTGCAACGCGAAAAACTTTTGAAGAAATCCAAACATCATTTGTTTACTTTGAGGTTGTATACGATTTTATTTTCTTCTCTTGTTTCTT